CGCAGCGCAAGCCAGCCACACCCGCAGCGCAAACAAAGAGAGCGTCCCCGGAGCCGCGCCGCGCTTCACCTCGCTTCGCGTTGCCTCGCCTCACATTGCCTTCGCATTGCCTCGCTTCGTGTTGCTTCGCTTCGTATTGTCTGGCATCGCATTGCCTCGCTTCACTTCGCATTGCCTCACATCCCATATTTTATCACTTCGCTTCGCATTGCCTCGCCGCGCTTCGTATTTGCCACGCTGTGCATCACCTAGCTATGTATCGCTTCACTTTTCGCATTCCCTTGTTTCGCTTTGCCTCGTCACCTCTCTTCCCATTGCCTCACCTCGCATTGATTCGCCCCGCTTCGTGTTAGGTCGCTTCACCTTCCTTTGAATTGCCTCGCTTCAAATTGAATCGTCTCGCTGAGCGTCGCCTCGCTTCGCATTGCCTCGACTCGCATTACCTCGCCTCAAGTCGCATTACCCCGCCTCAACTGTCGTCCCTCATCGCTTTACATTCGCCTCTGTGTCCTGTTCCCGCTCGGGCTCCGACTCGGCTCAAGCCTCTTGTGTGCGCGTCGGCAGATGAGGTAAAGGCTCCCAAGGCTTTCCGAAGCACGCTCACTGCCCGGCGCCTTCTCCGGGCGAGTGCTGCCGCAATGACATCGTCTGGCCCGAAACGTACGAGCATTCTCGTCGGGTGTCGGCCGGTGCTAATGGCGTGGGAAGCAATTAACGATTGTGTTGTTGCAGGCCGTTTACTTCTACATTCCCCAGTTTGCCTTTTCAGTGGGTTTCCTGTTATTGCCTTGAATTTGGAGAATTGTATACTTACGGGCGACCCGTAACATAGCGGCCAGAAAGCCTAGCATACCACCTCCGCGCACTGGGGTTTACATGTCGATCAATCCTTGCTGAAATTTTTGGGCAAAGCGGGTTCTCGGCAGCCTTTGACAGAGTTCTTCCGTTCACCTCCAATTCCTCCTTCAGCATTCATATATACAGTCGACTTAGGTTATTGTGAACCCTCGGTTATAGTGAACTTAAGTTACCGGTCACGTTTCACTTACATTACAAATAAGCGTAAGAAGTTTCTGTTACAATGAACGTAGGAAATAGAATGGAAATTAATTCCTGGAAAAATGTGTATCGCCTCAGTGCCACAAATTCTAAATCTAGGCATCTTGATAAAAAAAATCGTGGGTAAAGGGTCATACGCGAAGAAGTCTCTCCGGAGGTGAAGGTAGGGGGATCTTACTGACGACCTTCTGCCACTCAGTTTCACTGCGGAGGCCGTGTCCTGTGTGGGCTGCCACTGGCGGCGGCGACGCGCGGTTGCTTACTTCGGTTTTAATCTTGGTGTTATTTGATATTCCGAGGGGCAAAGCGCGTTGAGTTGTACGTAGGCGACAGGAAGCGAGCGACTGCCACAGGCTCACAGCCTGAGAGGATTACCTCCGTGCCGCGCGGAAAAGCGATTTCAAAGCAGTTGCATTAGTCGCTTGCGCCATCCAGCTACCGAAAGGATCTTGTATGTTATAAGACGAATAAAAGCCTATGGAGAATGGGATAGTGTTCCCCAACAGTGGAAGAAGCATTGAAGGGTGTCAAGACTGCATTTACAAACTTACAGATCGTGGACAATGCACAATGAAGTATGGAGAGAGCACGAGCTCTGGAGAAGGATTCAGAGAAATTACTAATGAAGAACGTACAAACAAACAATTTGGAATAATTGCCATTTTAGGAACAAAAATATATTGAAATTTTCAGTTAGTGCCGTTAATGTATTTTGCTGGATCTCTATTAATAAAATCAATCATTGTGGGGAAATTCTATTTAATTTTGACAACGTCGGGTGTAGTGATACTCAGATATATTGACCCAAAAATGTTAGTCCCCAGACGTTCCGGAGTGGACTCGAAGGGGAGAGCAGTCGGTCTTGTGGATGCGCCCCTGAAGGCAATTTGTAGAAATGGGAACAGTGGATCTGTGAACCACCTCTAGAATATCCTCGCGATTTCTCATAAATTTTCGTGCACAGTTACGACATTGCACCCAGACTCTTTCATATGCCGCCCAATCACTCATCACATGCTACAGCGCTCCGTTCTCCTGCGTTCACGGCTGTTAGTGGTGTGGCATCCAGCACTCACAAATTCAGTTGAAAAACGTTTGTGTTCTCATTCACGCTAAGTCTTCTTTAAGCGCGAGAATGTGTTGAAGGGAGTTTTCTTAAACTAGTGTGGGTTCAAGCTACAAATAAGTGACTCAGGACATCAACTAACGTCCCTGCAGGGCCTTTGACTGGGCAGTTCTAGGGATCGAGGATTTTCGACACTAGCTACATAGTTAGGTCGAATTCAGCTGCTGTCTGGAGGAGAATTCTATCGTCCGGCTGCTCTGATCGATTGTTTTCCGGGGTTTCTCCGATCAACACCAGGCGAATACCGGAGCAGTACTCTTAACAAACGGGCTATGGACCACGCGTAATATTCTTTGTCCTTTCCCCGCCCCCTTACTTGCACACACTTACACTCACGTGCACTGTACTGCCATACTTGCCGGAAGATTAGAGCTTGTCCTGGCTGGGGCGGTGCCACGCTGATCAGAGATACCTTGTTGGGGACAACCCCCACAAGCGGACTTAAGGGGATGGTGGATCCCGCCATTCAGTTGGAGATCAGAGCCAACAACCCCGCTACAAAACATGCTCTACACTCACAGGACTAATGGCCTTAGCAGTTGCCGCCCTCGGACAATCAATTAATCACAAATATTTAAACTACTTCTCATTGAAACAAAATTAAAGTGTTTTCACAAATTGTCAAAAAACATGTTATATTGGCAGGGGGGAGATATACTGTAATTTTCTCTATTAAAACAGTGTAGCGCAAAAATGTCTATAACAATGGTGTTATGAAATGTCAATATAAAAAATAGCAACATGTCTCGATTAATAACATTATCTATGAAACTGAATTTAGTCACCCGACATCGCCACTGTTTGTAGATGCTATGGTGCCCTCCGTCTTTATATTACGTATGGTCTTTTTTGACTCGAGACATTTGACATTTCCGCTTTTAGGATTTCGGAATATGTGTCTTATTTTTCTTATTTATTCCTTTTGAAAATTAATTTTAACAGATTATTATTATTATTATTATTATTATTATTATTATTATTATTATTATTAACGGTCGACTTGCTGTAGGTATCAAGGATCACAGTTTATAATTCTGTTTACACAAACGAAGAATATAATTTATTTTTCTTAAAGCTTTGAATTCACTTTCATTCGTGCTTTAATCTTAAAAGAAGAAAATTAAACATATCAGGAAAAACAAAATTTCCATAAAACAAGTTCAAGCACATATTTCCACGGAAATTGGCAGACGAAATGGCATTTATTTTTACGAAAATAGGCATGCTAAATGTATTTATTCTGGATATGTAAAATTTACCAATTTATTATAGATA